TTACCTTTCCCCGAACATCATCTTGGTTATCGATAATGTCTAGAGGAACGGAAACACACAAGTAAAAATGTCCTAGGTGATTCATAGTAATGTTCACCATGTTATTAACCTTTAGTGATTGTTCTGAAGTGACGATATCCTTTAGAAATGCATATTCTCCTCTGTTCCTATTCCAATCCCTAGCAAGGATCGAGATGGTTTGTATTCGATCCTTCTTTGATCGGTACTTCATTCGAAAATTATTTCCATGCAACTTCTTGTTTGTTTTATATGTGCTCATTAATTGTCTGATCACGTATGAACGTACTTCCCTAGGAGTCTCTTTTACCCATAAAAGTTCTTTAGTTGTGAAACATTCATTGTTTAGGTAATGCCTTCGTATGACACTCATGTCAGTGATCCCATCATCCTGTACCATCTTAAGAACTTTATTGTATGTCCACCTCGCGGTTCCCATCCACTTTCTTAGCTTTTCTCTTTCTTCGGGCGTTGGATAAATCCGTATCTTTCTTGTTTTCAATCTCTCTTCGTCGTTTTCGATTTTCAGCTGATCTGAGTCCGTTGTGTCTTGCTGTAAAGATAGTAACGATTGATAATAGATCCTCGGCAAGCTCACCGGATTCGGTATCATCAACGTTGATGTCCGAACCGAGTACCACGATCTTTGTATCGTGTTTACTAAAGATCCATTCGACCAGTTCAAAAGCGAAACGGCAGAGACGGTCCTTGTGGGTAACCACAACCTCCTCGATATCTCTTTGGTACGATCGTTCCAAAATGGACGTAAAACCTTTGCGTTTCCAGTTGAGACCTGATCCGATGTCCTTGATGAGTTCGTGGTCTGGACATTTTTGCCTGAGGTACTCGCATTGCCTGTCGAGATCTTCTTTTTGCTTTTCTGAACTGACTCGTGCGTAACAGATCTTTTTCTTTTCATTTATTCTTTCTTGGTTTCCAAATATCTTCTCCACATCCACTACGGAATACAACCTGTTGCCACCAGGTGTTCTAATACTCGATATCTTCCCTTGATTGTTCCACCTTCTCAATGTTTCAGATGAAATTTCG